TACTGCAAAGCCTGTAATTTAAACAGAACAATGCTGGGATTTTCATAAATTGAAGTTACAAGTAAGTGCCAAAAGAAGCTTATTTTTTATCATTTACGCATTACATTGAGTTTTGGATGATTCTAATTTCTAAAATACAGTTTATTATTATTGTTTTTTTCTATTCTCTTACAGTCAGAAATCAATCTTTGATAGAACTCTGTAAAGATATCACTTTGTTTAATAAGAAAGTCACATATAATTAAATTTTTGTAAGATCACAATGAATTGCTAGAAGAAAATTCATAATTCTTTTGATAGCAGGGTTTAAATATCTTGATTTTCATTATCTGTATAGATGTATGTGTCAAATCATTTCTAAACAAACGGCTGGAAAGCCTCTTCTGTGCACCATCTTACATTTACATTTCTTCTGCCTAAACAGAAATAAAAAGCAGCCTAAAACTATAGAAAATTGGGTAGAGATATACATAATGATTATTGGAAGAAACAAAAATATCCACAAACACATGAAAAATAATACAACTAATAGCAAAACATAGATATAAATTTTATTGTGTCATTAATGCCCATCAATTTATCAAATATTTAAAAAATATAATTTTAGTACTAATAATGTTAGAGAAGTATCCTTATTCTTCCCTGAAAAGCAGTCTATAATAAGGACTATGGCCTTAAAAATTTGTTGTATCTACTGTTACTTAAAATATTAACTTCTATCCCTAATGAAATAATCACAGGTGTACACACATTACAATATTTAATAATGATAATAATAATGATTACGAAGGCAGGTAACATTTTATAAACCATTGTCATGCTAACTTATTAATTATTACAACAATCCTATTAAATATGTACTATTAGTATTCCTATTTTACTTACAGGAAAATTGAGGACCATAGGGTTTAAGTAACTTTCACACTTTCACAGCTGTTTAGAACTGTATTCAGATTAGATACCTAGGAAGTTCTTGGAGACTATGTGCTATTACATACGATGTTATGTTAGGGATAACAATAATAACTGAAATAGCCATAATACCTCATAAGGGTGAAATACTTTACAAAAACTAGGAAATATAAGATGTGCAACAATTGAAATTTACTTTTTGAACATTTCTACTGATAGGACAAAGTGCTAGTATTTTATAAAATAAATATGAGATTAAAAAGGCATCTAAATATATTATCGATTATTTATAAATGTATGCATATATAAAATAGCAAGAAACTTATCTTTAGCAACTATTATTTATCCTCAAGATGGTATGGTCTTTGTTCAAGAAAGTACCTTGATAATTGTCTAAGTATAGATTATGAGGCACTGATGTCATTACAAGGTAGGGGCCAAGAAAATCATTGGTAAATCACAGTACAGAAGACAATAATTAATATATATTTATATTTATATATTAATGTATAGGATTTTAGGGTGGGAGAAGAATGACATTAAAGGAAAGAAAAGTCAAGATAAAAGAAGTGGAAAAATAATTGGAAAAATAAGAATAAAAGAGATGAAAGAGAAAGAAAATGAAATCAAAACAAATAAAAGGCAACGGAGACTTGCAAGAGGTTAGAGTCAGGTCAATGAGAATTTTTGTAAAAAGCAATATTTAATTTTAATGTTTTTGTTTTGTGGTTGCTATAGTGAAATTACATCTATTTCTCCTAAAACTGAAGTACATAAAAGTCAAAGCACAGCTGCCTTGTATTAGTTTTGTTTTTGTTTTTCTTCTCATTTTAGTTTGATAAGATGAGTTAGCAATAAGAAATATCCTCAGACCCGACAGATCCCACTCAGGTGTATGGTCAAATGCCACTTTTTCAGTTACATCTTCCCAGATACCATTTTAGAAATTGCAGTCTGGGTGTGGTGACTCATGCCTGTAATCCCAGCACTTTGGGAGGCCAAGATGGGCAGATCCCAAGGTCAGGCGTTTGCGACCAGCCTGACCAACATGGTGAAACCCCGTCTCTACTAAAAATACAAAAAAGTAGCTGGGCGTGGTGGTGGGCGCCTGTAATCCCAGCTACTTGGGAGGCTGAGGCAGGAGAATCACTTCAACTCAAGAGGCGGAGCTTGCAGTGAGCCAAGATCATGCCGCTGCACTCCAGCCTAAGTGACGGTGCAAGACCCTGTCTCAAAAAAAAAAAAAAAAAGAAAAAAGAAAAATTGCAGCCTCCAATTCTGTAACTGTTCCTCTAGTCTCCTGTTTTATTTTTCTCTATAATACTGAATGTCATGTGAAATATGAGTTACTTGTACTTGTTCATCTTTTTTCTGCCCCACATCCTTTTCACCACCCCTGGAATACAACTTGACAAGAATGGGATTCCATCTATCTTTCTCACTGTAGTTTCCCTAGTGTCTTAACAGTGCCTAACACAGCACTGGCATTCACTGAATATTTTTTGAAGTAATGAAAGGATGATTATTAATGCTGGGGTGAGCAGATGCAGGGTAGAGAAAATGAACTCAACAGAAGGCAGTAATCAAAGCCAGAAATAACTAGAAAAAGAAAAGAAAGACAGGAAGAAAAAAAGAAAGAAAAATAAATTTCTCCCAGGAATTCACTAAATTCTTGGGAAGATATCATCAGATATACCACAGAATAGGGGAACACTGTTTGCCATATTCTTTCCTGAGTCTTATGAGGAAGAGTCAATCTAGGTAGCATATGAAATGGAGATATAACTAGAGGGTATAAAAAAATGTTGCTAGTCATTATCTGTCTCTTATGAGCCATTTTTTAAAATTCCATTTTTCTTTCTATATATATTCCCATTAAACATAAACATGTATTACTTTTAAACAGAAAAATATCAAGAAAGAGAAAATATCTGTAAACATCCTCAAATGTGAGATAAAGAATTGAAACCTTTCTCTTTACCTTCTTCATCTTTATCTGTTTAAAAGTTGAACTTTAAGAGAGGCATAGTAATTTCAGCTTCAGTAATGGAGGGCTTGAACACATGATTATTAAACAGCAAACCCACATATAACGTGGAGCCAAAGAATCTTCTTCCAAATCCTTATAAAAGTATAAGAGGAATGATTGACCTGCCACAGAGAATTCAGTGAGAACTAGCCTAACCACTCACAGTAATGTTTTTCCTAATTAAGAAACATTACTCTGCCATGAATCCTTCCAATTATAGATCTGTTTTTGTTTTCTCCTTCTTTACCCCATTATATTGATTATTTTCATTGAAATATACTCAATTTCTCAGAAGATTCTCATAAAACATACAAAGGCATGCAGTCTTAATTTAATTAAGTATGGTGTATCTTGAACTTTGAAATCTATTGAGTCTAAACACTGCACGATGACAACTTAGAAAGTATGGCAATTGGACTTTATTTAGCTTCTATGAAAATTCCCCATCATATATTTGCTCTCTGGATTAGTCTGTTCAGGCTGGTATAAAAACCATACACTAAGTGGCTTACAAACAACAGATATTTATTACAGTTCCGTTGGCTGGAATTTACCATCAGTCTTGGCAGATTTGGTGTCTAGTTTCTCTGTTCATGGATGCTTCTCCCTCTGTCCTCACACAGCAGAAGGTGTGTGGGGGTTCTTTGAGGTTTGTTTTATAGGAGAGCATTATAATTCACTCATGAGGGCTCCACCTTAATGACCTAATCACCTACTTAAAGTTCCATCTTCTAATATCACCTTGGGAGTTAGGATTTCATTATATAAATTTTAGGAGGACACAAACATTGCTTATAGCACTCTTCATTTTCAGATTGTCATTCCAGTAGCTTCGTTATTTGTTATGTATTGCTCATTCATCCAGTTATTTATTAAATGAGCCAATACTTGTTGAACATGTTCACACAAAATGAAGTAGAGGAGCTCATATACATTATGAGTATTCAAGATATTCACATATGAAGCAGTTAATCAAGACCAGTAATAGTGTATTGAGCATCATTAAGAGTGTGTAAATAAGACTAAATTTCAATTCGTCTGTCATCACATCAAACAAAATGGATGAAAATATTTAAACCACGTTTTGGAGAGTATTTCAGTAATAGTATGTCTTTAAATATAGGCTATGTGGTACAGGGGAACTCGGAAGGACTTTGAGGCATTTCATAGTGAAATACAGTCACATAGTGAAATGATCATGACTGAAAATACAGAAAGACTCTGTGTAATTAGTAATTCAAAGGAGTGGTTTAAACCCCCTTGGAAGAGAAAACACACAATTGTTTCCACGATGATTTCCAAAGCAATCCAGAAGAAGATTCGCTAGGAATTGCAGATGTTGGTTTGTTCCCAAGGCGCTTTTTGCCTGGGCAACTCTAGGGAGTGCGCTGCGCATTGCAAAGCAGCAGGGGTTTCTTTAGGCTGTGGTTCTAATTCACCTGAGCAGGGCTGGGAAGGCCAGGAAGCAGATAATAAGCAGGAGGCTTTCCAGGAGGAACAGGGTTGGAGGAGATAGGACCTCTTAACTATCCAAAAAGAATACAAATAGAAGCATAGAAAAAACTCTGAAATAGGTCAGATTGTGTTAGATATTGGTTTTAGAATTCACAAAGTATCTGTTCTTGAAAAAAATTATTTGAACTCCTTGATTCTTTTCGTTGCTATGTGAAAAGAGGAAATAGTTTTAATTTCTCAGGGTTCCCATTTGGTAAGTATCTGCCTTCAGCACACAATAACAATGATGACTATTGTTATTACCAGATTACATGATGATTTTAAAATTGTTGTCCATATGTAGATTTCAGAGGAGTAAATCCGAAGTTCTGTTATGGAATAACATAGAAGTGACCTGTCTCATACAGAGGAAGTGTCTATTCCACTGGCATTTCTTTCTAGTAGGTTCAGATCAGTTTATGTCTCAAGACAAGAGCATTCATTTTTGTTGAGCTGCAGCTTTCTGACACTTGAGGAGTCTAAATATCCAGACTCATCAAATATGGGACATGATGGTTAATTTTTATCTCTCTCTCTCTCTCTCTCTGTCTCTCTCCACCAATAGGATGGACATATGCTTCCAATTGGTTGAATCTATTTATCTGGAGAATCCTGAAATAGGAGGAAAAGTAAGAGAAAATGACAGGTACAGCATTAGAACTTTAATAACTTTAGTAATTCAATTTTATAAATTATTGAAGTTATATCTTTTATTAAAATATACATCATAGTCATTATTCTGTCATTATGTTTTCCTGGAATCTGATGGCTAAGAATGACTGTATTTTAGGGTTGGAAAGTACACAGACAGTTATTCATCAACCCATTTTTTTTTTTTTTTATTGAATAAAGGCAGTTGACTGAACAAGATTATGAAGGTCTCCCGACTTTCTATCCGTTAGCTCTTATAAGACCTGACACATAAGGCCTGATGCTATTGGCAAAAGTAAAGCATGGCAGAGTTTGACTTTGAGGACTTTAAAAGTGCTTCAAAGGGTCACTATTTATCAACTTATTTGCTGACTTATCTTGGCTTGGCTGGAAGGGATATTTAACTGCTGAAGCACATAGCTGAGGCAATTGAAATTTATGATATTTTTGTAGGTCACCTTTAACATAATTAAACAGGAGTTAATTATACATATATTTTATTCTACAGGTAATAAAGACAAGTAAAGTAGGTAGTCCATTCATTACACTTATAAATTATTTTTAGGCTCAAAATATCAAATGTACATATCACTTCTTAAAGCTTCCATTACATTCGGGTTTAGATTAGGCAACTGTCCAAAATCTACAAGGAATATGAAGAAAGCTTTTGGATTTTATTATTAGCTCTTTCACTTCCTGAACAAACTTAATCTCTCCTCTTCTATGTACATGTTAACCTTAAGAGAAAACATATTTCAAGAAGAAAAAAAAATCATGCCTTTTCAAATAAAATTAAACCACAACTGCTATATTCTTTTCTGTACCTATTTTTGATACTAAATTAAATTCTTAGTATAATATTTTCAACTTCTGATTAATTTCTAGCTCTTTCCTGAAAAGAAACTAAACTTATTGTTTTTGTTTTTAATTTCCACCCATCTCATAGATTTCTAAAAGCACTTCAAAATTCTCCTATATGACACCTGTCTAAGAGGTTACAATAAAGTTTCCTTTTCTACCTCATCCTTATTCTTAGACATGATTTCTTTATTTATCCTTTTCATTCAATAACTCACAATAGGACACAGTATGATTTTTTTAAAAGCCTATGTGTCCATATGTTCATTTTAGCAAAGAAAACTGCCGCCTTTTATTTTGAAGTTTGGCCTCATTTATCATCATCTTTTAAGGTTCAGATAATCTTCCATAGCATAAAACTTGTATTAATTAAGTTGGAGTAGTAAAAGCAAGAACAGATGTTGTGTCCAGGAGGGAATTTTGATTAAAAAAAATAGAGTAGAGAAACATCATTAAATTAATAGAATTAATAGTGCTCTGAAGTCAAGTATTATTGTTTTAATTTCTGCCTCAGAATACCATTTTGCCTTTGTTACAACATAGGTTGATAGTGCAAGGATCATAACATAGTAATAGAATTTTAATAAGTGAAAGTACAAAGCCATTATTTTATCTACCCAGAAAACATACAGTATCATTGATAAGAAAACTATTTCAATGGAAGTTTTGCATTTAAAATAGGTTTGTAATGGTATAAAGACACAGTATTTGCTGCCAGGATTCTGAAAATGTTATTGTTATATTTTATAATTTGGGCATAATATGGGATATTTAGTAAGTAAAAATAGAACTGATTGATTAAAAAATTAAAATGCTTAATTTAACACGATTGATAAATTCATGGCCTTTAAATCTATTGTTCCTACTTAAATATTTAATATTCATCAGTAATTCTTTTTAGGTAATTACATGTGCTTCAAATTACATGTGCTTCAAATTAAACTGATTTACAATTATTTTATCTTCAATATAGACAGTTATTGTTAATATAAAATAGGATTATTTTTGTGAATCTGAATGCTATTATTATATCATGGCTAAATAGCTCTCACCTCTTTATTCCGGAGTCCCCTTAAGCCCTGTGGTCTCTGGTTCCAATTATCCAAATTAATTAATTAGTTCATCTCCAATTGCCAAGGTAATCAAAGTCAAAATCCATAGAAGAGATCATGGAGAATATAAGTGAATCTGTTTATTTATTTACGTTTGAGTTGTTCAAAAAGTCCTTGATGGCTGTGAAGAAAGTTTCAGACCTTTTAGTCCATCTTGTCAGATAAACTTTTCAGAGACCCCTCTAATTACCCAAATGGAAATACACAGAAATAATTGAAAGCTTAAATAAATAAAAATATAAATATTCTTATGCCAAGCTCACTGGTTTTCAATGTTGCACTAAAAGAATGGGAGGCCTGTGCTGAGCTTCTAAGCCTGGTATAGTATTTCCCTTACCTTCATGAAACACAAAACACTTTTTATTGGGCAACCAAATCATACCAATAGCTTAGATTGCATTGGCAAACTCTTAGAATAGGGCTTCCGTTTGTATTTCAGCAACTGAGAATTTGAACTTCTGGGTAAGAATACAAAAAAAAATTTAAAAAGTTAAAAAAAGTTTAAAAAATTTAAAGTTTATGAAATAAAGAAGTTACAGTAAGGTAAGGTTTGCGTATTATTTAACAAAAAGAGTTTAAAAATAAATGTAGTGTAGCCTAACCATACAGTGTTTACAAAGTTTATGGTAGTGTTCAATAAAATCGTAGGCCTTCCCATTCACTCACTGATCACTCACCCAGATCACTCACTGATCACACCTGGTGGGCTGTGGCAAAGACAAACTCAACCTGCCCAAACTAAACCAAGTCATCCCCTCCTGTTATCTCCACAGAGTGACCTTTTTCCAGTGTGTCTTATTTGCATAAATGTAATAATAATCCACTCAGCTCTGTAATGAAGAAAATGTAAAGTCATCAATGACACCTGTGTGTTGCTCGTCACCCCTTTTGCTATACATTTTTAAAATCTGCCAGCTTTTTTCCGCAAATGTTTTTTACATATATGTATTTCTCTGCATATCCATCACCACTGTGCTTGAGAAACTATCATTATTCTCCTCCCTGGATAACTGAAATAGTCTCCCAGTTGGTTTCATCACATTATAATACGGAACTTAAGCCAGAGTGATCTTTCAAAATCTAAGTATGACTATTTCAGATATTAGTGTCAGCATGTTCAGAGTATGACAAGAGAATAAAGTATCTATCTTAAATGGATCCCAACAATCAAGCATAGTTTTGCCTCTTAATTCCAAGTGACAGAAAATAGTTTGACAAAAAAAAAATGTATTAAAATATATTGGGTAGCTCACAGAATTTTCCGAAGAGACAGAGAGCGAAGCCCACATGCTATGCCACTAGCAACAGTAACCAAGATCACACCACAGAATTGATGTCATAGAGATACTTTTGCTGCCAATGCTGAGAATAAAGACTTTATTGTCAGATACAGGACACCATTGATAACTGATCATGAGACACTGATTTCAAAACTGTTCCTGGAAACTAGATATAGCTGCTACTGTTCACATCACTCTTCAGCTGGAAAGAGGTCTAAGACATTACTAATTATTCCTGCTCTGGCTTCTGATTAACACAGTGATGGACACTGATTCGTATAATCTAATCCATATGTACAGGTCCTCTAGATTTGAGAGAGTAGGGAAATTGTATGGAATTATGAACTTCCATGATGAGAAATAGGATTATCCCAGTGAGGTTATTTCACAATTGGGATGCATTTCAGACCAGTTGACAGAAGGATTAGAAAATGTTCAGTTAATTTATCTACCTTTTTTCGATTTATATAACCATTTTACAGATATTGTCAATATCTTATAGTCCCTCTCATTTTTAAAGATCCTTCTTGTCTCAAATGTTTTGCGCATTCAAATCTCCATCCTTTAAGCCTTCAACCTTCTATTTTACACTTGGTAAACTCAACTGACCCTTTAGGTCCAAGCTTAGGCATCAGTATCTCATAGTGATAACTTCCAGTTAGTTAAAGACCTTCAGAGATATACTCTCACTCAAACATTTGTCACAACTTTAGTTTTACAATTTTTGGCACATTCTATTGACATACTACACATTTCATAATTATCAGGGAACATGGTTGTGCTTACACAAATTGGGTGTTATCAGGATGTAGATTGTTGTGTGGCAGAGAGAAGATGCTCAATAAATATTTGTTGAATTAGGTAATGAATCAATTATTTTCTAAAAACTAATTTATAAGTTCTTGACTATAGTGTCTGCATATGTATTAGTTATCTAGAGCTTCCTTAACAAGTGTCCACAGACTTGGAGGATTAAACCAACAGAGATATTTATTCTCTCAGGTCTGGAGTCCCAGAAGTTCAAAATCAAAGTGTCAGCAGGTGGTTTCTTCTGGTGGTTCTTAGGAAGAATCTATTTAGTACCGCTCATCTAGCTAGCTCCTAGTGGCTCCCAGAAATTCTTGACATTCCTTGATACGTAAACATATGACTTCAATCACTGCCTTTATTTTCACATACATTTTTGTCTTCTGTGTGCCACTGTGTCTCAAATTTCCCCCTTCAATTTTCCATTTTTATACAAGAACACAAGTCATTGGATTTATGACACACACTCAATATAGGATGATCTTATCCTCAGAATCTTAACTCAATTATATTTGCAAATATCCGACGTCCAGATTAGGTCACATTTACAGGAACTGGGGATTCTAAATGGGATATATCTTTTTTAGGAAACATGTTCCAAACCACTATATTCCACCTTCTGTCCCACAGTATTTCATATCTGTCCCACGTGAAAAATAAATTCGCTCCATTCAACAGTCCTAAAAGTCTTAATTCATTCCAGCATCAACTCAAGTGCAAAATCTCATAAATCATCAATTCAAAATGTTCCATATGCCATCTAAGTCAGGTATATAGGTGAGACTCTGAATATGGCCAATCTTTGGGTAAAATTCCTGTTCATCTATGGACTTGTGGACTAGAAAACAAGCTATATCCTTCCAAAATGGAGTGATGGAGAGACATAGAGTTAAAATTTTTATTCTATTAGGGAAGCAGTAGCCCAGGAGAGCCAGGGT